AAATGGACAAGTTGACAGTCACATTCACGCTCTCAGTGCATTTCTTTCGTCTATCATTCTTCCATTCTCAATTACACAGGACATCAGGCAAATTATGGGGATAATCTTTATTTGTCTCACACCTTCTGTGGGGCAATAAACAATGCAGGGTGGAAGTGAGGCACGACAAGCTCGGTGTCTGCCTGATTGTAAACAACCGGGCGGCTGGCGCTTATTTCAGGGTTCTTATTGACAAAACCACTCAACTCTTGGTGGCTCTTAATGGAGGGTCAAATGTAACAAATTTTCACTGAGTGGCTCTTAATTGAGGGTGGCGCTTATTTGCGGGTTTTTACGGTACTGTAAATTGTGGCAAAATTGATTCAACTGCTGACAAGATTGGAGATTGCCTATCAAATAATAAACCCTGACCTCTGGTCACTCATTGAGTGCCTTAGTACCATGGTGATAAGGGACAATTCCAATTGAGGTAACCAAGACGGTAGTGCAGGGTGCATGATTCTTCTGTGATGGTCAAAAACAACATCTATTATACACACAACTCTAACACTAATCTTGGTGTAGATCAACTCCATTCAATGAAAACACCATGACGGTATGTTCCAATTTCTCTCAGAATCAGTGAAAAAGCTGCATTTCAGTTCAACTTCCAGCCATCTAGCATATTCTCTGTAGTGTATAGCAGTAAAATGTCCAGACATTCCAAAACGCTCACTTATATGGCACAACAGTTCTGTAGACGAAATCGATGACTCATTCTGCTGAACGCAATCTTGTTGAATCAGCCACATTTGTATCATGAAAAAAACAGCTCTACCTACACCTTACATACTTCAGCCAATTAGAAGAATTCATCTCAGTCAGGTGAATGTAAATGTACAGCTGACTGTGTGTGATGTCCACAGAAGTTCAAAATCGACACTGTAATGAATCGCAAAGTGATAGCAGCTCAGTAACTTTAAAAAACCACCCATGCAAAATCACACCCGCTATGACAACTGTCACAAATCTTTTGTTTTCACATATATATCAATATATATTGCTGATAAAGTTTTTATAAACTTCTCACATCATTGCATAAAAAAATTGGTACCGTTAAAATCCTATTATAAACCGCATACCTAATAGTAACCGCACCCCCGATTTCGGCTTCAGTGTTAAAGAGTTCTCAACAAAAATTGAAAACATGAAAAGTACCTATTACTAACCTGCACCCCCAAATTCAACAAGACCGTGACTGACTTTGTTTCAACCAGCTGGTACATTGTTCCTAATCCTATTCATTTGTTTCGACAACGTGCCTAAAAATATTCACACCTCTTTATTGTTCAGTAGTGTTAGGATGTCAAACACGCAGTGAAACTGCTTTTGTTCTTGCGACAACTTTTGTCAATACTCCTTATGAATACGTCCGTGTGTCGCAAGTTTTCGACAATGAGCTGTTCACCGAAAAACTGTTAAATTCTTTTTCAATGCTCAGTTTATCTTTCGAAAACAACTAATTTCTTTATTTAAAAAAAAAGTCATGTTGTTTTCCCATGGAAATCAAAGCCAAAAGATCGCACTACATTATCGGTAAATCTCTTCCGGGTTTCGTTCACTATGAAGTCGGTGACTTGTCATTAACATATTTAAATGAACTAAGGTAATTTGAACACGTGGACACCATCCAGCATTTCGATTGGTTAACTAGCGACTTGACCTACCCGGTCAAGTAATGTTTCGTGTGCATTCAAACTACATAGCGGAAGTCGTGTCGCATCGATCGTTTACATGTGACCGAAATAATTCGCTTACGGTGAAACTAAGTTGAATTTTACTTGCATTTGATAACAATTCAACGAATTTATTTTTCGTGCGTTATTATAATCACTACTCAGTAATAATCAACAATTTCAACAGTTCGAAAACAAGTAAGTTATTCACTTGTGAGCCGAAGCATGGCCGGATTGCGTTACCGTACCCACGGTACCGTACAATGTACTTTTTTAGTGCCATACCATGATCATTTTCTACTAAGCAATGCATTAATGTTTGTTTTTATTTGAAACTCCTGTCAGAATATACTTTCCGTTACGAAGAAAATTAAAAAAATAAATGCATATTACATTAAACTGAGTATTATTTTTTTTCATGTGAACAGTTTTTTTGTGACGTGAGGCTTATCACTCTTCCCTGACATCTAAATTGTTACGCTTATATTCAAAAGATTGTGCGGTGTATTGTTTGTTTTGTGCAAGTGATGTGGGAAACAAATGACCACGCCCATTTAGTGATTGCAATATGTACATTATATCTACCGCACCCCAAACTTAAGCTGTTGATCCCAATTTTTTATTTGATACATTGTAATATACACCGCGGTTTATAATAGGATTTTAACGGTAGTACCCAAGGTTATAGTAATATTTTAAAGTTATATTAACCATGGTATCTACCATTCAGTAAAAGAGTTACGAAATGATCTTTCACTTCATTTAAATCAACGACAACATTGTCTTTTTCAAAAAGAAACAAAAAAACTTTTTATTTGGGCGTACAAAATCTGAAATTACACCAACTATTTTAAACCATGTAATGATTATTGTACAAAAGTATTTAAATGTCTTCATATTATTATATTTCTTTATTGCAGGAAAGCATTTGGTCACTCCGGGGGATTGATTACATCAGCTGATGTCAGAACATCACCTTCAGAAATGAGACTAAAGCCGCCACCTGTGGTCATTAATAAGAACAAAACTGTTGTTAAACTGAATCCATCAAAAATAGTCTCTAATCCATCAAGTAGCATTACCCCTGAAGTTGTGAAATTAAACAAAACAAAAATAAGTTCAAAAACAACAAAATCAGACAGCAGTGAATTCTCATCCACGAACACAAACTCTGAATCAGACTCAAGCACGGGGAGCAGTAAGTGTAAAAGCAGTTCCGATAAAAGTCCTGAATGTAAGAAAGTGTCGTTGAAACGACCACCTTCAACCGAAAAAAGCTCCACTTGTGAAGAAACTGTTACAAAAAAGAAAAAAGTTTTGAAAATAACATCACCATCGACAGGAAGTAATCAGGTATAGTTTTCTAGTGACATAATGTTAACCTTTTTACCTCCAGTTTCCCTCTTTTTATCACAAAATAGTCCAGTTTATAGGCTACACTTCCTTCTGAAGATTGGAACAAAAATAACTTAATTGAGTAAAAACCAAAAATTTGGTCTGTTTGCTCGAAAATTATGGTTCATTTACAGAGAAGAAGAATACAAGCAAAATGTGCAGAAAAATTTGGGCAAGAATACAAAAATTACCTACCCGGTATAAACTTATACATAATTTCCAACTTAAAAATTATAAAAAATAATATTTTATTAAATTGCATTCCTTGCACTTCCACTGTCTCACTACAATTCTTATTTTCTATTTATGTTAAAGTGAACATAACGCCCAGTTAATATCTTGTAATCTGTGATTTACAGCACAGTGGCTGGACTCAATTAGTTGCTAATCGCAACTATTTTCGACCCCTATTCTATTTGTATATACATGTATTTTTGCTCATATATATTTTGTGTTGTTAAGACTTACTTTTTTTGCTTGTTTGGAATAAACATCTATTGATGTAAGAAAGTCTGATGGTAAAAAGGTTAATTAATACAGATTGTCATAAAATACATAATGAACGTCAGTACAGTTGTAGTATAAGCTAGTATGCCGCTAAGCCATTTTTAGTCCCTGTTCGTGCGTGCGTGTGTCCGTGCGTGCGTGTGTCTGTGCGTGCGTCCGTCCGTCTGTCCGGACTTATGTCCGGGGACTTATGTTTTGACCTCCGTGTGTCCGTGCGTCCGTCCGGACCTGTATCTTAGAAGTGCCTGGACCAATCACAATCAAACTTCATACATACATCGTACATGATACTATACATATGCACATCAATTTGTTTCACGATCTGATTCAAGATGGCCGAATGGCTGCCATTTGTGTGCTAAAAAATCCTAAAAATCAAGCATTTCTCGGCTGTTTACAAATGGATTTTGTTCAAACTTGGTATATTCATTAGACATTATGGGACCTTGATGCAAATAATTTTGTTTTTCAGATAAGATTCAAAATGGCCGACTGGCAGCCATTTTGTTTTAATGAATGTGGTTCTCGTACCATATTTCTGACTTACTTTCACTGATTATGTTAAATTTTAAATATTCATTATACATCATGTCATAGATAGACAGATTTATTGGTTTGATGATTCTATTTAAAATGGCCAAATGGTGGCCATTTTTGTGCTAAAAAATCATCAAATATCAAGCATTTCTGGCATTTATGTATGGATTTCGTTGGCAGCCATTTTGTTTTAATGAATGTGGTTCTCGTACCATATTTCTGACTTACTTTCACTGATTATGTTAAATTTTAAATATTCATTATACATCATGTCATAGATAGACAGATTTATTGGTTTGATGATTCTATTTAAAATGGCCAAATGGTGGCCATTTTTGTGCTAAAAAATCATCAAATATCAAGCATTTCTGGCATTTATGTATGGATTTCGTTGGCAGCCATTTTGTTTTAATGAATGTGGTTCTCGTACCATATTTCTGACTTACTTTCACTGATTATGTTAAATTTTAAATATTCATTATACATCATGTCATAGATAGACAGATTTATTGGTTTGATGATTCTATTTAAAATGGCCAAATGGTGGCCATTTTTGTGCTAAAAAATCATCAAATATCAAGCATTTCTGGCATTTATGTATGGATTTCGTTCAAACTTGGTACATACATTAGACATTACGGGTTCCTAATGCACGTCATTTTTTTTTTCAAATTGGATTCAAAATGGCTGACTGTTGGTCATTTTGTTTTAATGATTGGGCTTCTAGAGCCATATCTCTTAAATGCTTTGACTGATTATATTCAAATTTTATATATTAGTTATACATCATATTATATATATACATGTATTCAAAATGGCTGATTTTGAATGCTGTTCCAGAGCAATATCTCGCAGTATGGACAAGTACATGTACTTGTTTGACGATCAGATACAAATGTCAATCATTTTAATGTTAAAAAAATCATATTCCTGACATGGTTATATTCCAGCTATATTACTATAAACAATACTATATATTATAAATTTGATAACAGGGACTGTGCAATGCATGGCTTGTGACATTTCATTGATACACAGAACTTTCTCATGGTGCAACTAACTATGCTCTAAAGTCATACTGTGATACAGCTGATATCTTGAAAAGTATTTTATTATACATGTAGTTGCGAAATTAGTATTAAGTAATACTTAAAGTGCCTGTGAAATGGCTGCTATTTTCACGCCTAAAATTATCCATTGATACATAAATATTATTAATTTTTATGTTTCTAAGCATAAATAATTTTTTTAAGTGAAAAAAATGTGTTTTTAACTCAGTCTACGGAAACTTTATTTTTGTGTATTTTAAAACGAGGCTCCTCATTAGCTTCTCATTTACATACAGAAATTCCCCTT